GGGGCAAGAGGGACAGAACAAGACCTGGAGGGGATGGGGACAAAAAGAGGGGAGGGGGGCTTGCAACTGCTTAAAAACTAAAAGAAAAAACCCAAAGAAGAGATTTGATGAGATGACTGTGAATGAGGGGAACCATGGAAAGTGATGACTGTAACTAGAAATGCCTTTATGAATCGGCATTTAGTCAACAGGGACCAAAAAATACACCATTCATAGGAAAGTGATTTGTGAAACTTAGGCATGTGCTTTCAATACAAAAACACTGAAGCAAAGGGAGTATTTGAGATTTGTCTGTTAACAATTATACTTCCAAGGGATACCATCTACTGAGCATCCATCATGTTAGGTACCTGTGCTTTGTACATGTCATCTAATTCGGTTCCCATAACAGCCCTGCCAAGTCCATGGCATTGTTCTCGTTTTACACAAAATACTGAACTAAGCCTTCAGCTGAGGTTCAAAGAGGAATATAATTTGCCTAAGGGCATGCAACTGACAACAGAGGAACCAGGACTCAAACTTGGGACTACCTTACTTCAGAGCCCCAGTATTTTCCTCTAAAAGTAAAATAACTTAAATGAATTTAACACCCACTTCTCAGTAGCATCTGTACGTTCTTGGTCTCCAGACAGCGGTAAGGTTGATAAGACAACTTATTGTGGTATTGTTCACTTTCCTCTACTATCCATTTGAAACAAATTTCAATAAAATAATAGAATCTAGGATTCTCAAAGTACATCCTAGCTTGTCACATCAAGATACACATGTCGGGCTGGGGATGTGGCTCAAGCGGTAGCCTGCGGCCCGGGTTCGATCCTCCGAACCACATACCAACAAAGATGTTGTGTCCGCCGAGAACTAGAAAATAAATATTAAAAATTCTCTCTCTTTATCTCCTCTCTCACTCTCTCTTTAAAAAAAAAAAAAGATACACATGTCAACATGGTATGTGTATTATGTCTATTTGTGCGGGCACCCACAAGAATATCTATATTTTAGGACCTGAAGCTTCTAATTTGGGGGATACAAATACGTCTAGGACCCTTTGCAGAGACTTATGCAAGTGAAGTGCCCCGAAACTTGCTAACTTCATGACAAATCCCCCTCTACATGTCACATGAGTACATGAACTATGTATGTATGCACAAAGATATTTGGAGGGACAAATATTTGACCTACAGCCCTGGATTCCATTGCTTAGTGCAATAAAGCATTAGTTAGTATGGTTACATCTTTTCTGGGATGATGGAGAAGATTTAACAAGAACCAAAGGCACAAAGAATTTTTTTAAATGCCACTTGAATTTAAGCCAGGGGTCATTTGCTAAGTTAGATATATAAGACTATGGCTCATGCTCTTTGTTTTTAGTAGGCTAGTGAATATAGCTTTTAAAAAACATTTTCTATATACCAGAGAGCCTTTTTGTTCATATACTTTTTAGATGTGACCTCCTGTGTATATGAGAATTTGAGGAGTATATTGGTAGAACAGGCTGGGTGTTGGAAGACCTAAGGGGCAGTGGACAGGAGAAAGTTGGAAGGGCATCTTCATTTAGAAACCTGTTATAGATAAAACACACGATTTGTGTTCTCCAGAAGCCAAGACTAAGAACTTAGGTACAGGGATGGCCAGATTCCAACTCAACAGAATTTTCTACCAACTATAGCCATCCAAATATGGTTTACTTATGCCATGGCCAGCTGCCCATCACAGGACATACTCGTCCAAGGCTACTTCTTGGCAGGGGAAGAGTAGCTGGGGACTCATACCAAACAGAAGTTTGAGTCCATGTAAGAAACCACTAAAATCCTCTCTAGGCCTAAGATGCCATGTCATTACAGGTATACCAGTCATGCAACATGCATAGTTCTTACACAGCTCATCTGCCCCACACTCCCATGGTAGTGATATATTTATGCTAATCCAGTCACATTCCCTGACCAAGACCTTAATTACTGAGAAAAGGTGTCTTTGAATGGATTGGTCTAGTCATGGTCACACTCTAGAGTCTTAAAATTAAATTTTTTTCTGGCCAACCACCTGGGACTTGGGTCCATGCTCACTTGATAGCCACCCCTACTAGACGGCATTTATGACTGTTATCTTAGCAGTAGTCAAAATAGGCTCACAGTTTAGGTATGAAACTGGCAAGAGTCCTGCTTGGCTCAACCTCCCCCTACTTTCTCCTACATGCTCAGGGAGAAGCTTCACTGTCTGGTATTCTTGGCCAGCTCCAGGATGAGAGTCCAAAGCCAACCAGCCAGCAGGCCTGGGAGAGTGTGAGGCAGAGCACATGTTAGTGTCTCTGAGGGCGTGACCTAGCAAGGCCAGCTGCAGGGTCCCAGGAGCCCACAACCATGATCTAGACCCTTCTCTTCTATTTTCCATGTGAGACATCTTTAGGGGCCTACAAAGCCGACCTAAGCCCCTTGAATACTAATATTAATAACAATAATGTAGAGTGAGTGATGGTGGTGGTGACAGCCATAGCTAGTGTTTGCTGAGCGCTTACTTTTTGCCTGGTGCCGCATTGAGCTTTTTGTTATTGACCATGTCACTCCATGAATCCTGCCAAAAATCCTGCAGAGTGGATGCTGATTACCATTTTCTAGATGAGGAAATGAGGATTGGAAAGGTTAAGAGATTTGCCTAAGGAAGTATCAGTCAGCTAAGCTTCAGAGCATAGACCAAACCATTCTGTTCTCTTACCTCACTTCCTTTATGAACAGAGGAGACTGGCTTCCTCCCCTCCAGCCCCTGTTCTGGTCCCCACCAGGGAGCTTCTCCAACCCGGAGCCAGCCTCCAAGGAAGACCTGAGGGCGACATGTACATTAACCCTGCTCCAGGTACTTCTAGACATTTCCCTCATGTAACCCTCACAGCCAGAATCTGAGATAGGTGCTACAATTTCATTCTGCAGAGAAGTCCTGGGACTTGCTCAAGGTGACCTGATGCCCAGGCGGCTGCCTCCGCAGTCTGTGCCCCTCGCTGCACCTCAGCTGCCTTGCTGCGTGAACAGCCTCCAACACCCTCACAGACACTAAATTTATATTTCCTGGCCTCCCCTTCCAAAATGGATACACTAATTACATACCATTTTTTTTTTTAGTAATAGTAATCATCAGGAACACATTTTTTAATGTTTTCATTTTCTGTTCTGCAACTACTGAAATAAAACATTGATCAAACCCACAGGATCAAACCCAGCAAGTGTGAGGCCATGTAAATTAGGAAAAGTTCAGGAAGACATTTACACTAAACCAAAAAAAAAAAAAACCACCCAAGTGTTGATTAGGGACTTATTTTTATGTGAGATTAAAATACGAATCATTAAAATAGGACTGTATTTTGGGCTGCGCATCCCCATCTCATCAGAGCCATCACCATGACTACTAGATTTGGAGTCCATGAGTGCCAGAGCCCTTCCCAGCTCTCAAACATGGCCACGTGTGCCAGGTCCTCCCTCATGCGTGACATTTCCAAAAGTGTGGTCAGAACACCTTTGCATTTTCCTGCCTGTCTCCTTTTAATGAAACACCCAAGAGACTTCATCTTCATCTTCATCTCTTTGAAGCCTTTTCTTATCCAAATAGTAGTGGCAGTAAGTTACACTAATAGCAACCAAAATTCAAAGGTGGAGGAAAGAACAAAGTTTTTAAAAGCAAGGTCAAAAGGTTCCCCCAGGAATTTCTTGGGATCCGGTAGCCATGGAACTTCATGTGGTACAAACAGTGGAGTGGAGATTTGCAGAAAGAAAGAAATTAATATGGAATTCAGATACATGCTAAATTTGGAGGAAAAAAATAATATAGCGATATCTATAGCCCAGAATATGCAGTTAAAGTTGTTAATTAAAGTATCTGTTAAAAAATGGCTAAAATTAGAAACAAAGGCCCATTGTTTGGTACAATTGTTGACTGCATATCTCTGTGTAGGGAAGGGCGTAGGGGGGACAGCATTTTAAAGATTAATCACCCATCCTTATAAGGTTTTGAAGCACCCACCTGCATTTTGAACTTGGATTTAAGCCAAAGGGGAGGACCAGACCATGACAGTTACTTTGCTAATTAACTATTTTCAGTGGACACTTCAAATACCAACTATATCAGAACAGAGGGGCCTCCGCTCAAACCAGCCCCCACCATCTTCTGCCAGCGGCTGACATCTTAAGATGATTCTCTAGAGCTTGTAGAACCTTGGCATAATGCCTATATGTATTTTTAAAGGAGGGAAGCATCCCAGACTGTGCCAGTTCCTTATAGAGCATCGTCAATAGTTAGCACCTCTGACCGGACTTGTGAATTTTGTTCATTTTTATTCTCTTCCTGCCCAGGGTTGGAGTCAGTTAGAAAGGCGTATTTGTCTCTGTTGGGAAGGTTTCTGTAAAGAATCTGAGTTGTCATCGGAACATAAAATATGTTCATACAAATTGACTTCGTAATTCTTTGAATAATCTGAAGAACAAACAAAGAGATATGTAAAAGAGGATATTTTCACAAAAATAATAGGAATTAAGTTGGGAGAATTTAAATTCCCCCTAATGTCCGGGATGTTACTCTAATAGGCTATCATTAGCCAGCTCCTAAAGCAATTCAGTAATGTGGAAACATCCTCAAAACCTAAGGTAGAGGGGAAAAAGTGGTTCCTAACTACTAAAACCAGATCCTCACTACCTAACGGTAGACATCATTACCAGGGCTTCTCTGACTTCGTAATGGAAATCTAGGTGGTTTTGTTTCCTTTCTGGTTTTGCACATTTTAAAAAACTATTCTTATATATTGCTTTCATAATCAAAAATGTTTAATTTTAAAAAATCACATGGTTCTGACGTCTTGAGTTTCAAGGGCTGTGTCCTGTCCCTGTGAGCTCCACGAGGACACTTGGCATGCCCATTATTTTTACCGCATGTCCGTACCGAAGTGCCAGGCACGTAGCTTCAGCCCAGTCAGCAGCAGTGGAATAAGTATGCCGTCTCTCTCCCATTTCTTTTCTTCCCAGGTGATGTGCTCTATGAACTCCTTCAGCATATCCTGAAGCAGAGGAAACCTCGGATTCTTTTCTCACCATTCTTTCACCCTGGAAACTCTATCCACACTCAGCCAGAGGTCCTACTGCATCAGAACCACGAAGAAGGTACTGGACAAGGCTGCTCTTTCCTTACCTGAGGTTTAGACAAACCCCTGGGGTTTCATTGTTAACTTTATTAGCTGTTCTTATTCATGCAAAGTCATTTTTCAGTCAACAAATATTTATTGAGTGCCTACAATGTGGAAGGCACTGGGGGAAATGCCTAGATAAATAAGATGTGATGGAGTTGACTCTCTGAGGCTCACAATCTAATTGAAGCCATGAGACAAATGTACACATGAGAATAAAAGTCCAATTATAACAGTAGACACCATAGAGACAGAGAATAGAAGGGGAGGTTATGTCCAAGTACAAGAAGCAAAGTCAGCTTCATAAAGAAGGGCTCTCTGGAGGATTCCTTGAAGGTCCAGTAGGGTTCTAATAAGCAATGATGAAGTGGAGAACATTCCAGGCAGAGTAAATGACTAAGAGTGGGGCTAGACCTTGAAATGCAGCAGTTGGATAATGCGGGTGCTGTGCCCACTCCGCCTTTTAATATGAAAATTTTCAAATATATATACATGTATATATATATATGGTGAGGGATGGCCTCTTCACGTCACCTCTGTGCCTTGGACAACTCTTCTCATTTGATACCACCTCATAGAGACCTATGCTCCTACCTTGCTGTGTCCACCTGTTCACCACATTTAAATAGTATACACGCAGATACACACACACACACACACACACACAAATACATGTACACACACATACATATGTATTCCAAATAGACCAAATAAAATACATAGACCCCTGCAAGCCACCACCCTCTACAACAGTGATCAACATCTTGCCTTTGCAAAGCTTATCCAAGGAGGTGAAACTGGAACCAGAGAGTGGAGCACTGGGATTTCCAGGCTAGTAAGGAAAGTCTTGGGGAAAATGATCAAGATTTTTGAACAATAAGTAATGAAACAGGAAAGAAAAACCCCAGACCATGTGGACTCAGTGTTGGGTTGGGGCTTCTTCTTCCACCTTAGGGAGGTTTGTTGGCCTGTGCTCAGTGCCGGGGCTTCTTGCTGATGTCCCAGTTGCTGCTCCTGTTGTGATTCGCAGGAATCATAAAAGCACTGGTGGACAATGGGAAGGCACTGGGGGAACTGTGGTCCTGGACGTAGTTTGAGAGCAGGTGTTCAGGGACAGAAATTGGGTTTAAAAACACTGTTTTCAGCCTGATTCCACAGAAGAGCTCAGTCTCGCCCCTGAGGGCCACTGTGTCTGCATTCTCCTGCCAGGTAGACCATGCAACACTCCTAAATGTACAGTGGTGCTTTTTCACTGTGCTTTCCTTAGGGCCAGATTTCCAGGGCCTTACCTCCCCTTGGGGAATTTCCTTAAATTGATTGATCATCTCCAAGAGCAGGGCTAATATTTTTGTAAGTTTTATGTTTTCTTAACACTTCACCAAAGAGAGCCTGAGTCCAGGTGGTTCACGTGGCCTCCTTGTGCCAGCATCGCACAGCAAGTCCCCTCACTTCCATGATGGAGAATAATAGACGAGCATTTCTGGCATGGTCCCTGCATCTTTCTCTCACTGTTTCTTCCCCGGGCCTTACCTCTTCTAAATTTAGCAGCTTCTCCCTCCCCCAATTCAGTTTTTAATGTTCTTTTGCTCTTCTTGCTGTGTTCATTTCCGGACTGCATAATAGCCAACAGTCACTCTAGAAAAGAGGAGGTGGGTTTACTGAAGCTTGACACTGTCAAGAATTACATTACCTAGTCTGCCCCTTCAGATACAGAGTGTGTGATGGGCGTCCCTCGCTTTTCTTATTTAAAAAAAAAAAAAAAATCCCATTTGGAATTTCTGTCCCCATTTTATTCCCAAATATGATTGGAGGCATGTGGATGCACC